CTTTCTTGCCTCCCTTCATCTTTTCTACCTCACCTCCCCAATTCCTTTCTTTTTTTCTTCTTCCCTTTGTTCACTTCTTTTCTGATTCCCTCCTTTTCTCCTTTCTTCTTTCCCTCACTCCTTTCCTGGCTTCTTCCTTCCTTCCTCCCTCCCTCCTTCTTTCCTCATCCCCTCCCTTCCTTCATCCAAACTACCTTTCCTTCATTTTCTTCATCCTCCCTCTTTTCTTTTTTCTGACATGCACATCCCAACATTATTTTTCTGTTCTCATCCCAAATCCAAAGTTTTCTGTATACCAGGTATACAGGTATATGTGCCTTCAAACCTAGACTAAAGGTCAAAATCATCTGCTCTGAGATATCCATATAGAGGCATCCGGACACCATCCACTTTATCTTGACAAACGTGTGCTATCAGGAGAGTGTGCTGTGTGTGTAGGTTTAGAATACTTGACACGACACTCACTGAGAGTGGTAAAACACATCCTGGCACAATGCAATCCTCTCTCCACAGCACTGTGTAGTGACAGACATGCCAGGAGCTATTCTTGTTTCCTCCTGTCACCTCCAGTGTTGGAAGGGAACAGTGATGGTATGCAGAAATAAGCCCTCCTGTTCTGTGAGTCACTGTCTGAGTGTGTGCTCTGCAGAACGGTGTTAAACTTGGCAGCTCACACTGTGACAACAGATAAGGCACATTTCATGCATTCTTCCTACGGTCATCAGGTTGGTTTGTTCTTTGAACCTGGTGACCAGGGAGTCCTCTGCTTCCCTGCACTGATTAGGCCACCACCCAATTTGCAATAAACAAATAACTAGCAACTGCAACAAAGCCCTTTTCATCCACTGACAAACACCTTGCCCACCAGACTGTGCCTGACAGTGAAATTCCTCACTTCCTTCTTTTATGGGGCTGCCATGGAGGTGTGATCACTTCAACTATTTGTATTTGAACCCAAACCTTGCATTTCACATGGAATGTAAGTTCTGAGTAATTTCCTTGGAGAATCATTTGAGTCATTCTGATACCTCTCCAATTAATTAAAAGAACTCACTGTATTAATATACTCAGTGTTATTTCAGGGACGTTTTCCATGGGTAAAAAATAAACAAAAATAGAGGCTTCAGACGGACCAGTGTTTGAGCTCTGGGTATCTCAATGAACTGTCTCTACGTGCAGTTTTAGATTTTAGTAGCATCAGAGCATCTCTCCAAGTTCTAGTGGTTATTCCTTCCTCATCTGCTCCGGTGATGTCAGGGCCTTCATGAAAGCTAGAAGCACCCTCAACACAGACCATGAATGGCAACATGGATGTATTCCCTAAACCCCTCATGGAAATAACAGGCACTGAGCTAAGAAGATTTCAGAAACAGATTCATGGTGTTAGAAATCACTCAATAACAGAGAGATCACTGTAGTGTTCTGACGGCTGTCTCAGACATTTATGATGTCTTGGGAAAGGATACATTGGCTGCCAGCACTGATAACCATCACTTCATGGAACTAATAACTTTCTTTATCTTTTTCTTTTTCCTTTTTTTAATAATGAGAGTGCCAGCCTCAGTCACATAGCCTTTGGGAGTCAGGAAGAGTTAATGAGAATTTAGCAGCATTATTTGAATTTCACTACTGTTTTAATGGTTGTATAAAGTGTAGAAGAATGATTATTCTAGCTTTTAACTTAATATAATTATATAATGTTTATTTTCAAATCATGTGAGGGGGAAAAGAAAAAGCATATGGTTTTAGTGAAAATAAGTAAAGAGTGTTACATATTAAATCAGTAATACATTTTTATGCCAATGTAGCAAAGAATGATTGAGCACCGCTCTCTTGGGACACTCATATGTAGGTCTTTAGGATTCAACAGGATGAAATTCTCTGCAAGGACAGATACCACTTATCTTAGTGCTGCCACAAAAGAGGGCCTGGCCCTGCCTTCAAAGGGTACTAGAGATTGAATACTGCCTCTTCGCAAATTAAGTTACTCTGAAGTCCTCATCCCAGCACCTCAGTATGTGAGCTTATTTGGAAATAGGATAACTACAGATATAATTATTTATGTTAAGATGAGGTCATACTAGAGTAGAGTGAGCTCCTAATGCATTTTGGCAGAAGCTTTTATTGAAGATGGCCATGTGGAGACAGAGACACCCAGGGAGGCTGCAAGATAAGAAAGACAGAGTGGCGGGTTCACCTGCAAGCCAGGAATGCCAAAGACTGCACCCAACCACAGCAGCTAAGAAACAGCAAGGAAATTCTCCCCTGCAGCTTTTGGAGGGAAATTTGCTCTGCCAGCACCTTTCTTTTTACTTCTGCTCTTAATAACTGTAAAATGATAAATTCTGTTGTCATATAACACAGTTTTTTTGTGCGTTTCTTTTTGTTTCTTTGTTTTGTTTTCTTTTGTTTTTGTTTTTAAACAGAGGTTTGCTCTGTCACCCAGGCTGGAGTATAGTACTGCAAACATGGCACACCTCAACCTCCTGTGCTCCAGTGACCCTCGCACCTCAGCCTCCTGAGAAACTGACAATCTTGCATGTGCTACCATGTCCTATTTGTTTTGTGGAAACAGAGTTTTACTATGTTGCCCAGGCTGGTTTTAAACTCTTGTTCTCCTTAGGTGATCCTTCTGCCTTGTCCTCCAAAAGTTCTGGGGTTATAGTCCTAAGCCTCTGTACCCAGTACAGCCTCTCAGTTTTTGATACTCTGGTAACAGCAGCCTGAGCAAACTAATAAACAATTTTTATTTAGAAGAAAGCATCAATTTGATTTCAATTATTTCTTTATGAAGGAAATAACCTTTGAGTTATAGAGAAGCATCTCTATCAAATGTTCCTTCCTCCCTTTTCCTCCTGGTAGCCAATCTCAGACCAAATCTACAAAGTCTAATTGTTGAAAGTTGGTGTCCAGATGATACATTTTCCACTCCAAAAACATGCTAACATGCTACACGTATGCAAAAACAGACAATCAACAACACCAGTATTCTCATATCTTCTTGGGATTACTGAGCACTGTTCATGTACAGCTCGGCCACAGCAGTCTCAGAGCCTCATTCCTCATAAGGAGATTGATCTTCCCTAGGTGACATTCACAATGCACGTCTCACTTTCTCATTCAGTATATATAAAAAAAAATCTATCACTCAGCATAGATGATGGAGGCACAAATGAGTAGAAAAGAATAATACCCCATCCATTTCCACAGTTACATTGACAAAATGAAAGGATGCCACAATGTCTGTGGGTATTTACGATGTTTTGGGTTCTTTTCACCCATCGTTTGCAGTGAATCATCTCAGAAAAATATTGAAACATTCTGTTGTATAGCGCTTTTTGTTTTTTTATACCTTCTACTTTGTTTAGGCCAATAAATTAGCTTTCCTGTGAGATACATATGTATGTATGTTTGTGTCTGTGTGTTTACATATGCATGCCATATAGCAATATAATACAAATATATATTTTCCTTTGCTGTCTCTCTCTGTAGGTATTTATGCAGAAAATAAAATACAAATATATATATACACACAGGTATATATTTGTACTTGTATATGTATAGTAAATATAGTTACATTTGTGTTTGTATTTGTATATATATTATATATGCACATATAAGTATACATGTATTTGTGTATGTATATACATAAAAGTATATCAGTATTTGTCTGTATAGATGCACAAATGCATATACACATAGACACACACTATAAAAGTACATATGGGAATAAATATATTTCTCATTATTGAATATATATAGGAATATATATTTATATTTCTCTATAATTATTGTGACATTTGTTTTCCTTCCTATGGCCTGGCAAAGAATTCCCCATGTCGTAGGTCATGTGACATTGCAAAACTTTGTGCCTAACAAAATAAATGTTTACAATAGCTGGGTAGGATGGTGTGCACCAGTAGTTTCAGCTACTCAGAAGGCTGAGGTGGGAGGATCCCTTCAGCCCAAGAGTTTGCGAACAGCTTGGGTAACATAGCACGCCCTGTCTCTACAAAAATCCATGTAAGGGCATGGTGGTGTGTGTTCGTAGTCTTTGCCACTGGAGATGCTAAGGAAGGAGGATCACATTAATTCACTGAATCTAGAATGAGTGAAATATGCTTGCCCCAGTGCACTCCAGCCCAGACTACAGTGTGTCTACAAAAAATAAAAATAAAAATTATCCAAGCAGCCGGGCGCGGTGGCTCAAGCCTGTAATCCCAGCACTTTGGGAGGCCGAGGCGGGTGGATCACGAGGTCAACAGATCGAGACCATCCTGGTCAACATGGTGAAACCCCGTCTCTACTAAAAATTACAAAAAATTAGCTGGGCACGGTGGCGCGTGCCTGTAATCCCAGCTACTCAGGAGGCTGAGGCAGGAGAATTGCCTGAACCCAGGGGGCGGAGGTTGCGGTGAGCCGAGACTGCGCCATTGCACTCCAGCCTGGGTAACAAGAGCGAAACTCCGTCTCAAAAAAAAAAAAAAAATTATCCAAGCATAGCAGTCAGCCTAGGTACTCTGGAGGCTGAGGCACAAGGACGGCTTGAGCCTAGAATTTCAGGGCTGTAATGTGCTACCATTTCATTGCTGTAGACCAGCCTGGGCAACAGAGTGAGCCTGTGTCTGTACAACAAGGACAAAAACCAAAGCGTTTGATCAGCTATTATCAGAATCGTCATGTACGTGTGAGTCCTGCACTTGTAGGTAGGAACTGTGGAATTTCCAATGGGCCATCAGAACTCTAGTAAAAATCTGGTTTCACAGTAATGTGTTTTGTTCCTACAACACTTTAGGAGTAAAGAAAACAATGAGTTCCCACAGATGCTGAGGGAGGGGCTGCCTATTATTGCTGTATGCATGTCTGTGTGTGTACATGTGTGCCTGTGCATGTGTGTGTATGTGTGTGCGCTCCTGCACATGGTGGTAGAACCAACACCTGTACTGAGGACTCAAACAAGTGACGAGGACAGCGCAACCCTGACCCAAAGAGGCACGTACCCAGTTTTGGCGAAGTTTGTCCAGTAGGTCATGACCAGGGCACTGAGCATGACGTCGTTCTTGGAGAAGTTACAACTGAAGAGCTCAGTTGGGCCGATCATGGGGATGCCAAAGACATAGGGGACCTCGTCGCCATGGGCAGAGTCTGCCCAGCTGGGCTTCATTTCGCTTTGACAGTGATGATAGAAGGCATAGAAATAGGTGGGGGAGCCATATTGCGCGTGCAGGTCAGCGGTGGCCACGGCGGGAGCCACCCACTGGTGGTCAGTAAAGAGAGCCACCAGAGTCTTCCGCCGCGTCTCAGGGTTTTCCTTATCGGCCCAGTCTGTGTACATAAACTTGATAGTCTCCCGCAAAGTGTCTTTCCCTTCAGGGTAGCCGTAAAGGTTGTCCACAAAGTTGGACACGGAGAAATCAAAGTCATTGGGTGTCACACCGTCCTCATTGTCCACGATGCCATCCACGAACTTCAAGCCTTCTCCTTGGTTGACGCCCAGCATGATGTCATAATTGAGGAACTCGCCTTGTTCCATCAGGATCTGGGGGTCGTCTGGGATCACGTCGCCGTCAATCACGGGCCCAAAGGCTATGTGGTAGGTGGCTGGGGTGATGGTCTGCTGGATGAGCTCCTTGTAGTTCTTGTTCCGCAGGCATTCTACCATGTCCATGGTGTCCAGCATGTTGCAGCCGACCTTGTCTGCCAAAATCCGAGTGTACTTGGCTGGCTGGTAGTTCACTGCCCAGCTGGACAGGGCGGTGCCGCTCTGAACAATGGCCTTCTGGAAGAGACCTGCAGGTGCAAAATTGTGGACATGCAAATGAAAACCCGCAGGACAGAAACGCAGCTTTTACTGAGCAATGAAGGCTGTGATTGTCTCTCAGGCATGTGAATTTCTGAATGTGGTAGCATTTACCTCTGTCAGGGGCTCTTTTACCCATTTTCATTTTGATTCCCCCTTTCCTTTTTTCCTTGAACGTTCATTTTACAGAAGGTTATTCTACACACACACACACTCTCTCTCTCTCTCTCACACACACAAACACACACACACACACGAGTTGAAAATAAAACCACATTGTCACTTTACCTGCACTGGTAAAATACGTGTGACTTCATTTTCCATTCACAATTTAGTGTTGTTTTTGCTTCCTTGCCTCCCGATGCCGTATATAAAAACTAAAACAGAAACTGCATTACCATTTTCCAAGGCAGTCGGGGCAGGTGGTTGAGAAAAACACAAACAGGGTTTAAACTAGTAAAAGGTAAAAACGCCCTCTTGTCTCACAACTGAATCCATGTATCTCTTCATTAAGAGAAATAAAAATCAACTTGAATCAATTTCAGGGTGCTAACTTAGGAATCTGTATCTACCTTGAGTCTAATGAAGATAAAATTTGGGAATAAAATGCATGGACTTAGCTATGCCTACCACTTAACTCTGTACCCAAGTAACAAGTATTATTTAAGTAATTTCCTTCAAAACTACATCCATTGTAAAGCCAGAGATGTATATATTTTATTTTGCCCCATATGAAAAATGCTCCATTTGTTGAGAAACTTAAAAATGATACCCAAGTTTAGTAGAAATATTATGTAGCTTAAAATTCTCCATCAGCTCACTCTACCACAGAGATGTCTAGAATTATAAAATCTGTATTTTTAATCATGACAGGACAATAGACAGTGGGCTGTAAAAATCAGAGCATTCTATTTACAATTGCTTCCTACTCTTTCCATGAATCCTTGCCTGAGTTGGACACTAAAGAATAAGTGAAACGATGAGTTTGTGTCATTTGTAGGAACATGGATGAATCTGGAGACCATCATTCTCAGCAAACTGACATAAGAACAGAAAAGGAAATGCTGCATTTTCTCACTCATAGGCAGGTGTTGAACAATAAGAACACATGGACACAGGGAGAGAAGCATCATCCACTGGGGTCTGTTGGGAGGAAATAGGGGAGGGGCAGTGGGGGTTGGGAAGTTGGGGAGAAACAGCATGGGAAGAAATGCCAGATATAGGTGAAGGGGAAGAAGGCAGCAAATCACACTGCCACATGTGTACCTATGCAACTATTTTGCATGTTCTTCACATGTACCCCAAAACCTAAAATGCATTTTTAAAAAAAGCTAAAATAAAGAAGGAAATAAAATTAACTACAGATAATTATTTTCAAAAAACACTTTCTGTTTTTAAAACAAAACAGCAAACCTCCCTGAGACAATATCATTAAGGGTAGACATTAACAGCAAAGTAAAATTATTATGCTTAAACTTTCACATCACCTATATATACTTAAACAAGAAAGAAAACTGCTTGAATGTGACACTGTTTACTAAAATCAGAAACAGTGTTCTAATGGCTAGAAAGGTTTCTACTAGTAGTTCATTACGCAAAGGAAGAGGTTCCTTCAGTCTGCCAAGTTTTCGCAGGAGATCTTCTAACAAAAGAAAGATGAGAAATCTTTCTCTTTTTTTTTATGAGTTGTCCAAGTCCCTTGGCATTTTGAGAGACATCAGAAGATTAGTTTACAAAACAGCCCCTGTGTTAACTAATTTTATCTAAACCATTCAGAATTATACCAGCTTTATCAACAATTAGTCGAATCTGATTTTCCATTCTTACTTTCAACTATGCCCCAATCTAGTCCCCTGCTTAAATTATCTAAAGTAGTATTTTGCACTCAGTCACTTTTCTAAGTTATCATGCCAAGGTAGAACTAAGGCCTCAGCTTTGAGAAAATCACCCCAACAGAGTACATATTTTCTAGTCTGGAGAGGTTAGCCAACAGATAGAAAAAAAGTCACAATAGCCTAGAATAAATCTGATAAAAATCCAACTAAATTGAATGACCAAAATACATACATACACATATGTGTGTATATATATATATGTGTGTGTATATATATATGTGTGTGTGTGTGTATATATATATGTGTATATATATGTATTTATATGTATGTGTATATATATGTGTGTGTATATATATATATATGTATCTAAGAATACCTATGGTTTTAGACAAATCTAGCCTTGCCTAGAATTATTCATGTACACAATTGTAACATTAACCTTGTAAGATTTACTAAAGAAACACTTATATAATACTGTAATTAAAAACATGACTATGAAAGATGAAAAAAAGAAAAGAATAAGGCATTCAGCTGTGAATTCAGAAGTTCATACCCTGTAGATTTTTAAGGTCACAGAAGTATTCAAATATGAGAAAAATATGATTGTCATCAGGATGATATGATTTTAGAGACTGGAGCATTGCCCAAAGATGACACACAGAACTGGAACTTGAAAACAATATGTCATTCACAAGTTTGTCATCAAAACCATCTTGGGAATGTTTCTGTCAGAAATGTGCAGATTTGACTTGAGTGCTTGGCTCTGAAGATTATTTTAAAATGGGTAAGGGAGAAAATGTCAATATGTAATTTGTTGGATACTTTCATTACTTAAAACATTAAGAATTAGGAAGAAAATGCTTTCAGAAGTTTTTTTCCCACCCTTCTCGTAACTACTGACAATAATTTAGGTAGTAGTATGTATAAATTAACATAACTGAAACAGTTATTTGTATGTTAGGGAAGTAATGTAACTCTTATTAATACTAAAAACTTGGATTATGAAAAAAATCACCCATAAGCCATATTTTAAAACAGAACTCACCTTAGCATAATGAGTATACTAGAAATTAACATAATTATTTCTCTCACATTCAAACATCTTTTTTGAATACCTGAGCCCAATATTTACATAGCTTTATACACTGTGTTTTTCGACCTCTTGTATACCTTAGGAAAAGTCTTACTCTTTTGAGTAAATACATACGGTTTATTATAAGTCTCGTATCCTTTTGATTCCTTAGCTTTTCATTTTATTATTTGCTATAAAAATAATACTGGGATAAATACCTTCACAAAACTATCTCTTTCCACATATAAGTTGCCTTTAGTAGACTAGAATTCCTGAAGCAAACAGTCTGAATATTTTTATTTTTCTTTCAGGCAGGGTGTCTCTTTACTATTCAGGCTAAAGTGCAAAGACATGATCTTGGCTTGCTGCAACCTCTGCCTTCCAGGCTCCGCTGATCCTCCCAATCAGCCTTCCAAGTAGCTGGGAATACAGGCACAAACCACTATATCTGACTAATTTGTGTAATTTTTTTTCTTAAAATTGGGTTTTGCCATGTTGCCCAGGCTGGCCTTGAACTGCTAGACTCAAAAAATCCTTCCACCTCAGACTTTCAAAGTGCTGGGATCACAGGCAGAAGCTATAGTGTCTGGCTTGTATTTTTCATAATTCTTGATTATATTTATGGGCTGTTTAGAAGTACTGCCTTGCAGAAGTGACCAATGCAAAGGTAGTATTTCAGCAAATAACTGCCAATCTGTTGACTTAAATAATTAGCAACTTCCTCCAATTAGTGTGGCTTACATGTGTTTCAACACTCCTGAAGTTGGTTCTGACTGCTTTCTAAATCTACAACTGTTACTATATCAACTGACAAAAGTGAATATATATGTATTATGAAAAATGTCATAGAAATCTCTATAACAAATAATTCATCAGATTATTTACATTTTCTGTTTTTAAAATAAATATAGTAGAGCTATGAGCCCTTGCTCTTCCCTGTTATTAGCACTAGTAAGGAGTTAAATACCATTTGGTCTCATGGGCAAAACATTATTAAGTAATGACTCAAGGAATTCAGAGTTTGGAGGATTTTAGAAAATCTCACTTATCCTATCTTACTAATGAAGATAATGAGGAGCGTAGTGATCCAAAAACTTGCTCAGATGGTACAAGAAGTGAAGGAAGTCCTGTAGTTACTTTAAAAAAGACACTTTTAAATTTTGCTTTTTTTTATTGCATTTTAGGTTTGGGGGTACATGTGCATAGCATGCAATACAGTTGCATAGGTACACACATGGCAGTGTGTTTTGTTTGCTTTCTCCCCTTCACCAACATTTGGCATTTCTCCCCAGGCAATCCCTCCGCACCTCCCCCTCCCACTGGCCATCCCCTTTTCCCCCCAGTAGACCCCAGTGTTTAGTACCCCCTCTCTGTGTCCATGTGTTCTCATTTTTCATCACCCGTCTATGAGTGAGAATATGCGGTGTTTCATTTACTGTTCTTTTGTCAGTTTGCTGAGAATCATGTTCTCCAGATTCATCCATGTCCCTACAAACGACACGAACTCATCATTTCTGATTGCTGCATAATATTCCATGGTGTATATGTGTCACATTTTTCCAATCCAGTCTATCATCGATGGGCATTTGGGTTGATTCCAGGTCTTTGCTATTGTAAACAGTGCTGCAATGAACATTCGTGTGCATGTGTCCTTGTAGTAGAATGATTTATAGTCCTTTGGATATATACTCAGTAATGGGATTGCTGGGTCAAATGGAATTTCTATTTCTAAGGCCTTGAGGAATCGCCACATCATCTTCCACAATGGTTAGACTAACTTACACTCCCACCAACAGTATAAAAGTGTTCCTTTTTCTCCACATCCTCTCCGGCATCTGTTGTCTCCAGATTTTTAATGATCACCATTCTAACTGGCGTGAGACGGTATCTCAATGTGGTTTTGATTTGCAGCTCTCTGATGACCAGTGACGATGAGCATTTTTTCATATGATTGTTGGCCTCATATATGTCTTCTTTCGTAAAGTGTCTGCTCATATCCTTTGCCCACTTTTGAATGGGCTTGTTTGTTTTTTTTCTGTTAATCTGTTTGGGTTCTTTGTAAATTCTGGATATCAGCTCTTTG